CGTGCACCGGCCCGGGCCAGGCCGAGTGCACCTCGTGCGCCGACCCCGGGGCCCTGCTCCAGCCGGGCCACGGCTGCCTGGAGGCCTGCCACGAGGGGCACTACCCGGACGCCGGCCTCGACTGCCTGCCCTGCCATGGCACCTGTGCCACATGCACCGGCCCCGGGGAGGACCACTGCACCGCCTGCCCCGCGGGCATGCTCCTCGTGCCGGGGGCCGGGTGCCGGGCCGCCTGCCCGGCCGGCTGGTACCCCCTTGCCGGGGCCCATGCCTGCGCCGGCTGCCATGCCACCTGCGCCACCTGCACCGGCCCCGAGGCATGCTCGCCCCCCCTGGGCTCCGACAGTGATGGCGGCAGCAGCGGCAGCACCGGCGGCAGCGGCAGCACCGGCGGCAGCAGCAGCAGCACCGGCAGCCACAGCGGTGGCAGGAGCAAGGCCGGCCTCGCCGTGGGCCTGGGCATCGGCCTGTCGGTGCTGGTCATGCTCATCGTGGCCATGGTGGCGGCCGTCATGTGGCGGAAGCGCCAAGCCGCCGCCCCCGGGGCCCCCGGCACCGCGAAGGACATCGAGGCCACGGAGATGGTGGAGGTCCCGTCCGACATCGACATCGCCGACACCCCCCAGGAGCCTCCTCCGCAGGTCTAGAGCGCGTGGCCGGCCGCCTGGGCATCTCCGCCTCGCATGCGTGAATAAAAGAATATATGAATGTGTATATATGCGTGTGCTTAAGTATATACGTGCGCGTTGTGCCCGACAGCGAGTGAGGTGTGCTGGCGCCTGGGCGTGAGACCACGGCAACAGGGCGCGTCGGGGCAAGTATCTGCCTGGCCTGCCGTGCTGCCAGCCCCCCTCGGTCCCCGGGCCAAGGCCGCCAGTCAAAGGGGGGGGGGGAGCAATGCACACCCCGGCAGAGGGTCCCTGAGATGCCCCCTCCTCCGGAAGAGCCGGCCAGCACGCCCCCAGGCACCGGCCATGCTGCCCAGTGTGCTCGACCGGCGCCCGGCCTGCCCACGGCGCCGGCGCTTCGGCCGTCCGACCCCAAACGACCGGCCCTCCCAAGCGCGGGGTGAGGCACCCCCCCCCCGGAAGCCGACCTCCGCCGGCGGGAGGCATCCCACAGGCGAGCCGCGCCTCGCCTCGCGTCAGCGCGCGCGACCCCGGCATCGAAGTGGGCGCCATGGGGCAGGCGCAGCCGGCCCCGACAGACCGGCGACCCGATCCCGGCCGCCGGGCAGTGCCCCCGCCGTGCCGGCCACCGCGCGAGACCACCCCCAGGGACCGGCGAGGGGCGGAGGCCGAGAGCGACCCGAGGATCGGGCGGCCCCTTCCTGGCCCTGTGGCGCACCGTCGGCCGTCCCGTGTGCCTCGAGCGCAACGGCCGACCCCCGGCCGGAGGTGCGGCCGGGCCACGGGAAAGCCCCCGGCCACCGCCCTCCTGGCCGCAGCCGCGCCGCTGGCAGACACCCATGCCGACCCCGGGCGCGCGCGCACTCCAAGGCGCCCACACCCATGCCCATGCGCCCAGACAAGACCCACCCGCATGACCAGGCATGCACCTGCCCGCAGGCTCGCAACCTACGACACTGCTGAATATGCACACCCGAGGGCATCCGGCCGCGCCCGAGGGGATGGGCAAGATCCGAGCCAGCCCCAGGGCCCCCCGGCCTCCGGGCATCCGGCCGGTGCCACGCCCCACCGGCTCGGCACCCCGGCCTGGCACATGGGGCGCCGGCCTCCCGAAGGGCCGGGCCCTGTCGCCGGTGGCATGCTGGTCCAAGGCCGGGCAGAGGACGGCCCCGCCCGGCCGCCACGCGCCGCTGCCAACACACCCACTCGGGCCAACCCGCCCCGGCGCCCATCGAGACAGCCGCCGCCGCCGCCGCTGCCGCCGGGACACCTGCCCCCGCGCCCCGCATGCAACCCCGGGCCATGCATGGGCCGTGCGACTCGCGCCCGCCCGCCCGCCCGCCCGCCTGCCCGCCCGCGCGACCAGCACCCACCACGCCGACAAGTCCCGGTTGCTCCGGGCGGCACGGTCCGCCCGACCGCCTGGCCCACAGGGGGGGGGGGGGGCGGGCATCGTCCTCCCAAGCACCATCGCCATGTGACCCGTCGCCAGGGCCCGGTCGCGCCCGCATGAGGCCTCCCCCGCTCCGGCAGAGGCACATGGCTGGCGGCGAGTGCGCCCGTCCCTGCGGCAGACGGGCCCAGGGCCCCCGGCGGGAGCCGTCCGACCACCGGCAGATGGCCACACCCCTGGCCATGCCGCGCCACAAGAGTCTGCCCCGCCACCCGGACCATGCCCACCGGGGCCCCGGGGCCGGGCCAGGTGTACAAACAGCTGGAAGCCCGCCACCGTGTCAGCTCCCCGGGCGGGAGCAACCAGCCCGGCCCCGCAGTGTCCGGGGCCGGGGCGCTCTCCGGCCATCAGGGCAGCGGCACCGGCCCGCCGGGCCCCGGTGCATCGCCCGAGCAGGCAGCCCCACCGGCCCGGCATCCACCGGGGCCGCCTGTCGGCCCGGGGCCCGCCCTATGCAAGGTGGCCTCTCGGGCAGGTGGGCCGGGCAAGGAGCGAAAGCCGATACCAACACGGTAGAGCGCGGCCGGAGGACCGAACGACCGGGTGCATGGGGAGCACCGGCGGCCACCCGGCGCTGGCCAGCCCGCCCGAACCTCCGCAGCGAGAGGCGCGTCTCCCCTTGTACCGGGCGCCGGTGTCTGCCGGGGGATGGGGCGCCCTGCGCGCCGCGGATTTCCCGGGCCACGGCCAGGCCCTGCCGCCGGGCCGCAGCGAGGATGCTACCGAGTGGCGGCCCCCATCCCCGCCGCGTGCGCACGCGCATCGCCAGCCAAGACGCCGCCATCGACCGCGAGCACCCCCTGGCGCCGGGCCAGCGCGCCGCGGCACCGAGCGCAGACCGAGGCGCCGGCCTCATCGCCGCGAACGCCGGGGGCGGGTCGGACTCCTGGGCCGGCTAGCCGCGCGTCCTCCTGGCCCGGATGGGCGACTCGCGCACCCGGGCCCCGGCCCGATCGCCACAGAGGGCGGGGCAGGGACACAAGTTGGCCCGGCGCGGCGGCGGCCCCAATGTGCGCGGGCCCCCCCCCCCCCACCCCCCACCCGGGTATCTGCCCCGCATGCATGGGGGCACGCATGCCCCGACGGGCGCCTCGCAGTCCACCCGCAAGGGCGTTCAGGAGCGCGGGCG